ACTGGAAAAATGGGAGTGAAGCCAGTTGACTCTCCCATTGATCCCAACCATAAATTAGGTGACAGCCAAGGTGAACCTATCAAGGATGTGAAACAGTTTCAGAGACTTGTAGGGAGATTGTTATATCTTTCTATGACCCGCCCAGACATTGCTTATGCTGTTGGTGCCCTTAGCCAGTTTATGCATGCACCTATGTCCACTCATCTTGAAGCAGCAGAAAGAATCCTCCAATATCTTAAAAGGTTTCTAGGTGCTGGATTGTTGTTTCAAAGACACGGGCATTTGAAAGTTGAGGTGTATACTGATGCAGATTGGGTTGGATCTCTAAATKACAGAAAGTCTACTAGTGGCTACTGCACCTTTATAGGAGGAAACCTTGTTACCTGGAGAAGTAAAAAGCAAAGTGTGGTGGCTAGATCCAGTGTTGAAGCTGAATATCGTGCAATGGCTCATGGAGTGGCTAAAAGTATGTGGATAAAGAATCTGTTGAGTGAGTTGGGTTTTCTAGTGGACAAGCCTATGACCCTATTCTGTGATAACAAAGCAGCCATAAACATTGCTGCTAACCCAGTGCTACATGATAGAACAAAACACATCAAAGTCGACAAGCATTTTATCAGAGAGAAAGTCATCACAGGCGAAGTGTGTACTCCCTATGTCAGCTCTGAGGACCAACTTGTAGACATCTTTACAAAAGGACTACACCACACAAGGCATCATGATCTATGTGACAAGTTGGGCATGATTGATATCTATGCGCCAACTTGAGGGGGAGTGTTAACAGATGTTATTTTATATATGTATTGTACCGCAGGGGTACTATTGTACTTTTCCTTTCTTTATGTTTAGTTGTTGTCGCCCTAGTAAAAATAATAACATATTGCTTCACCTGTAGTATCTTGTTGGGCTCTCAGTCCTCTCGTCTCTCCTCTCCTCTCTCCCTTTCTCTCTTCTTCCTGTACCACAATCTCCATTCTTGGATCTGATCAAGAATAGTTCTTGTTATTGTTTTTTGCTAGAAGAAATAATTTAAAGTCGTGCTTACCAGCCCCTTGCTTGATTCTTGCTGAAGAATTAGGGTTCTTGTTGAAGAACCATCCTACAGATCTTGCCTCAGCATAAGTTGTGTCATTTTTAGTGGAGGTGGGTTTTGGTCAACTCTTTGGGCGTGAACACCTACGTTTGGAGTTACTATTATTCCGTATAAGGTATTTCCCTACTTGCTTAATTTTGGTTTCAGATCTGGTCCGGTTTGTTTCAAGAATGAACCTTGAAAAATGCAGTTTTTTCTAAATCAGGAAATAGGACTCCCGGATGGGAGAAAGAAATTTTTGAAAATTCGCCAAGCCACCTTGCATGGTTCAGCCATCCATATGATGGATCTCCCATCCCTTCAAAAACAACCCTATACACTCCACCAGTTGAAGGCAAGGTTCAAAGTATCGATACGATACGAGTTTCGGTTGTATCGTATCGGTACTTAGAATCGGCCGATACATACTTTTTTTTAGTTTTTTTTTCAAAGTTTAGTTTTTTGGGGAAGCTTATAAGATATTTTTTATTATTAAAAAAAGTTGGGGGTCCGAAACACCTAGAAACAGGTGTTTCGGACCGTATCTTTTTCAAAAGATACAATACGATATGCCTCGTATTGGGCGTATCGTATCGATACTTTGAACCATGGTTGAAGGGTTCAGTATATCTCAGTAGAGAGATGAGATTACAACCCACAGAAAGTGATAAAGAAGCAAGAATAAGATCAGAGAGCAACCTGCTCTAATACCATGTCAGTTTCAGTCGAAGAAGAGAAGAGACAAGAGAGTCACACGAAAATGGATGGGTGTGTACAGTACCACACGCCCAGAAAAAGATATTTATATATTAATGTGAGAATGGACAGTTCTGTCCTTACAAGTGTGAGATATGTACAGTAATGTACAAAGAGATATACAAAAGAGCCAAATAAAAGAGAAAAATTACAAAGCTACCCCTCATCCTCTCTACACATAGAAGTTGGATAGTGCATTGGGTGTCCTCTAGAGGGCTTATTTGGGATGTAGAGGAGGTAAGACCAGAGAGTTGTAAATAACACCTGTAATAAATCTGAAAACAAACCAGAAGAAAAAAAAGAAGGTGGAAGAAGAAAGAGTTCAGAAGGAGAAGAGAATGGAAGGAAGAGGAAGAAAGAAGAGAGCTATTTGATCCTCTCTTCAGTCCCCTAAAACACTTTTATTAAACCTGATTGCAATTCAGGTACAGTTTCAAGGGTGCCCTCAGTGGGGTGGCTACTCAATAAAGATAATAAAAGAAAAACAAAACTGACCCATAAACTAAGGCCCACTAACTAAACAAAACACATCATTAACAGCACAAATAAAATAAAAAGATTAAGGCCCATTTGGCCCATCATATCTACAGCTTTGTAAAATATCCTACAATTGGGAATGCATACCATGAATCTGTGACATAGTCATCCATATATAAGAGGTTCTCTGAGGATCTCTTTCGTATTTCCTTTTCCACTAAGGATGGTGTATCTTTGCAAGGCACAATGAGTAGTCCTTTTATCATCATAGGGTCTTTAGGCTGTCTAGTAAAGCAATCTTCCCTTCTCTTATGGTTAGAGAGGATTAGATGTAGCACCAGTTAAGGGCTATGAGGTTGAAGTAACTGCTGAGGTGTTGGCCATGTAAAGTGTTACCTTGTCCTTCAAACCTGAGAAAAGGATAAAAAAGGGCTGGCAAGTGTAAAGAGTAGCCTAGTGCATGAGTCTCCTGCCAATGCGGGGTCTGGGGAGGGACAGATCTACACAACCTTTACCCCTGCACCTATGTCACAACAGAGGTTTCCAAATCTCAAACTTAAGTGCAATTGCAGAATGACCTAAGAAAAGAGGGAGAGATCAAGATAGAAAATTGAGGAGCCATTGAGAGGATCAATAAATATAGGTTTTTGGAATGAGCAAAGGCTTCAAAGCATTCTGAGGTATATGTAACATAATCTACTTATTTTTATTTTTTAATTGACAAGTTGGAACATTTTGAGTTTGATTGTAGATTGGCTCAAGCATTTGGGCTTCAAGGACTTTGAGTCCCTTTCTAGGGGGCCTTTAATCCATAGGGATGTTGTTGAACCATTGATGAAATTTTTGGCTACTACTCCATGTTTTTGAACCTCAAAAATCTGAAGGATGCTTTTATGGGCCTAACCCTCCAGGTAGGTGTTTGGTAGTGTGGTTCTTTTCCCAGGAAACACTGCCATGTCAGCGGCATGTAGGCATTTTGAGCAACTTCTTATTTGGTAGGATTGGTTCAAGTAAAAGTGGTTGTGTTTCTTTTACCTCAGTTTCTATGAAAGTGACTTTTGGTGAAAACAACTTTTTGAGGTTTCTTACTCCCAGGGGCATTTTCAACTCTTTTGTACTATGTGGCGTCTAATGGCACCTAGGTGTATTAAACCAGAATAAGCAATTGTGTAACGAACTATGTGCAAAACTCACCTGCTCTTCTGATTTCCAAGGTGAAAATGTTTCCTCGGGCAACAAACACAATACCAAACACTGCCTAGGAAAGGAGATATTTCTAGAAGAGTTATTCAGCATTAAAATAGAGATAAGAAGATTGGTGGTGGACTGACTCACATCATTGCTAGTAAAACAGCACTCTCCAGGATATGTTCAAAATTACCACTAACTGATTCAACACAAGTTAGTAAAACAGCACTCTGATTGCATGGGCTGGTTTGCAATTTACCTTTTGATGTAATCATCGGTTTATGTGCCTCAAGGGCACATCTGTCTTTATACCTTTATGTAATGGTCGCCCTACACATATAAATAATATAGCTAGCGCCGCCAGCCTATTATTTTGGATCTCTTTCATTTTTCTCTCATCTCTCTTCTCTCCTTCCTTTTTACTTTTCTGCACCAAGACAATACTTTTCTTTTGTAACAATTAAAAAGTTAAATTGTTCAGATAACAAATATTGTGAACTGGAGTCAAGGGGATGGGCTTGATGTATTGGAGAAGAGTCTTGTTTATTGGATGTTGTTCCTGTTTTTGTTTTTTACTTCCTGCAAACTTTTTCTGCTAATATCCAAGAGAATGACTATTCTCCTATCATAGACTAGCACAAACATAGTAGACATATGGTACATACACATACTGGCATACTTGAAACCAGACATCCACATGCTTTTGTGTCAGATACCTATATCTTTGTATTGCATATCTGTGCACCAATACCATTCCTTCTGAATTGGCATTTGGCAAAATGAGAGTTGGATGAGAAATCTCTCTATAGTAGCAAATAGCAATTTTAGCATTCTTGAAAGGTGTTTATTGTTGGATAAATGGTTATTTGTAAAAAGTTTTTGTCCATGCCAATTATATTCTCCTTATATACTCACCCTTTCCCATGACTTATGGTAGAAATTTCAAGTTTCTGATCCAAAGAAAAAATTTATCTGCATATTTAATAGAGCTCTCTTGATGCCAATATTTTGGGTAGGATGCATTAGATAAGCTTTACTGTTTATCTTCAGGTTTATGATGCCACTTGACTTGGGTGCAAAGGGAAGTTGTCAAATTGGGGGAAATGTATCAACTAATGCTGGAGGTTTGCATTTTGTACGTTATGGATCACTTCATGGGAATGTCTTAGGTAAGGATAACAACAAATATTATTTGTCTTAAAAGATAGTATTGTTCTTTATGTAAATTTTTTTGTTTTATATTGTAATGCTGATATCTGCATGGTGAAACTATGAGGTACATGGTTAGGATTTTATTTATTTATTTTGCTTTTTTTTTATGGATGACGAGAATTTCATTGAAGACCATGCTTTTTCAATGTGAAATGGGTTCAAGATAGTCACTTTGAAATATCTCAGCTTTACTTTTTTTAGACAGTTTTATATGCCCTTAGCTTCAATCAGAATGATGTACATTATGAGTTTATTGTAAATGAATAAAAGTACATATTTGATTCATGTTCCCTTGGTATGTTTCTATGTAATACCCTTAAACTGGACACTTAATGAGACTCGTGTTAGTTTAGAATGTTCA